GTCACCGCTGTCACTCCTGAGAAGCTCACTTTACAAACATCTGATGCGCCACTGAATCTGGTCTTTGATTGGATGATCAAACACCCTGAAATTATTTACATTAAAAAATATTTGCGTCCCCTCCACTTCTGAAATCAGAATTTCATCCATGGTTGAAACTGTGACTGTACGTAATATTATTCACACTTTTAAAGGTTAAGATGAATAAAAGGCTCTAAAAGATATATATCTTTTTTTCTTTTAGTGCCATAGCCTCACACTAAAGAAACTAAAAACATATGTCTTTGTTTAGAAAAAAGATATTAAAATCAGGGGTCTCCCAATGAAATTCTTTTCATTTCCGATATGATACCGATATTGAAACCTTGAGAATTCACCGATACGATATTGGCATGAATCATACCAGCTTTTATTACTTATTTTAAACTTTAGAATGATAGAAAAGACTCAATCCAGTAATATTACTTAAACAGTGAACAAAAGTAAACAACAAAATGTATGAAAACAACTGACCTATGTAATATTAACCAATAGATTACAGGAACTTCAAACATAAGCAGAGTATTTCTATCAGCATAACAATATCCGAGATTTTAGATGCTGTTGGATAGAAACTGATATTAGTTTATTGGCTGATTTCAGACCGATATCCAATACTAAAGTTCAAATTGAAAACACATACTTATAGTTTCTCATTTTACAATTTTTGCTAAATTAAATACAAGTGAAAAAATCCCCAGCATTTTGTTGTTTATAGCATAAAATAATTCACTAAGATAGCAGACGATGCTAAATTCCTCATTCAGTCACGTGACCCACTGAGGCGCTGTAGGATGCTGTGACGTCAGGAAGTAGTCATTTTACATAGCGAGTCAATATTTAATCACCTTTGTGATGGAGTTTTTATCCTTTAACGAGGTTTAATCACAGCTGCTAAATGTTCTTTGATCTTATCAGCCCTTCATTATCTTTCAGAAACCTTAACAGATGGTTCTGTGTTTTAATTAGTTTAAACCAGATTCTAACCTTTTGTTTGAAGAGGGGATCACAGGATTTGGATTGGGTCTGTTGTGGCTGGGTTTGATTTGGTTGATAGGGTTCTGCTGCGGCCGGGGAGTGAAGGTCAAAGGTTAGTGTTGGAGCCCTGTGTGCGGTGATGGCGGTTGGGATAGCAGGCTGTGCGGCGCTGCTGTGCCTGGATGGGGAAAGTGGTCGCCCGGTAATCTGATCGCAGCGAGTGGTCCAAGCATTTCCTGGCGGGAAACATTGCCCTT